GACACAAGTTTGGACACAAGCGCTCATAATTGTGTCATTATTTAGGCATCGCTTCCATCCATTCACTCACATATTGGGCACACATTTCGTCCATTCATTCAACAATTGATTCAATAATTAAATGAATAACTCATTCATTGGTTAACAAAATATTGACAAAAAACAGTAAACAATAACCAAATGTGAAGCAAAACAAGTGTCAAAACAATTGAATGTGTGTTTGCATTGAATTCATAAGCAAATGATTTAGTCGTTTAAATGACAATATAATCAGTCAATTGTGGTATCGATTGTTGTATTCATTGATTGAGTCAATCATTACATAATAAATACACTTATTATCCAATATATGTTAATATCAATAATGAGGTCATATTCTCGATATAGCAGTCACTCTATGTTTAGCGCGAATCCAGTCATTCATACATTACGTGACACAACACTCACAACAAGTGTTTCCCCCATTTTATTGCTCACAATATGTTTCGTGTATTTTATTGCCGTTTAAATGCCACACATTTATGATGTGATGAATATTTATGAATGAATTTACTATAGGATTATCATATCGACCATCGATTGGTCCAATCGCTCACAAACTTATATACAGTTACGTCTCGTTATAATAACCAATGCCTAAAATGACATTTTATGCACAAATAATTAATTAAATATAAATTAAATGTCAATTAAATTTGTATGAAATCAAGATTTAGTGTTAAAATAGCAATGAATTGGAGAAAAGCATCGATTGGTTGATAAGTGTGTATACATGGAGTGTATTGTGAGATCACGTGACAGCTGTTTGAGTGAATCAAATGAATACGTGTAACACAAGTGAGGCATCAGTTGTGTTGAAGTGAACACACATTCAAGTAATTAAACTCAATATTTGTGTTAATTTGTGTCCAGAAGTAAGGATCAAATCAGTGAAGACATGGATCAAGTGATGTCATTCGTAGAGCCCGGACGACAGTTCGCCAAAGACTCGATCCGTTTGGTCAAGAGGTGCACAAAACCCGACCGAAAAGGTTTGCCATATCATTGATATCAATATATATGCCATTTATATGATAATGAAGTGCTAAATGAGTTGATCTAATGATACCATCGATGGTTACAGAGTTCCAGAAGATAGCGATGGCCACAGCGATCGGGTTTGCGATCATGGGATTCATTGGATTCTTCGTTAAACTCATTCACATTCCCATCAATAATATCATTGTGTATGAAATGATTGATTCATTTATTTTAATTGCATTTAAACTAATTGTTTGTCTCTTCTTTTGGCCATCACTTCACGTCTCCAAACAGTGGCTCATAAATCGGATTTCAAGCCATAAAACGCTTTTATTTTTTTGCAAAACTTATAAAATGAATAAATTTTGATTTCAATTTATCGGTGTTTTTAAAAATGTTTTATTCAATTGAAATATAAATCTATTTAAGTGTTGAGTGAAACAAATATTTGGAAAATAAAA